TTCTCACCAGTGAGATGTACTTGAGTTTGATTTTGATTTGGAACTGAGTTAGGAGAGAGGCATGGATACATTTTTTTTTTTTTTGGGGGGGGGAGGATCAAATTTCTCCAATTACTTCTCAATAAATTGACAATCATTAAATGATTTGTAGTCTCAATAAGTAATATGATGTATTAAGAACTATGTAATGTTATGAACGACCAATAAAAAAAAAAATAAGTAGGATGTTGTAACATGATGATGGATCTGTTATCATCTGTTGAACTAAACAGCAACTGAATTCACAAATTTTCAAATCTTTGTTTTTGTTGTTGTAGTTGTTTGCTTTTGTTCTTAGTCTTTAAAATACTGTTTGAAGGTTTTTACACATCTGCTATCTCTAATACATGAAAAACATTTATTGGAATGACATTAATAATTACTTTGAATCCAACCATTCAGGCTGAAAGAGGCAACCGTGTGGGGGTGAAGTGCCGAGGCTCTGTGGTACTTCGTGTGTTTGAAACTTGGCTCTCTTTGTCTGAGTTCCCTCATATCTGCAAAAGAAAATAATGACAATAATTGCAATTCTCAAAGGGTTACAATATGTTTAGAATGGTGTTTGGTTATGAGAAAGCAGTAATTATCCTTCCTATTATTAAAATAAAAGCTGTAAATGCCTGTGGTGGTAGGGTATTTGGGATTTCAATAATCTTGCCCATAGAATGGAGGTGAATTTCAACCCGGATGGGAAGAAGTGGCATCTGCATCTCAGCAATCCATTAGCTCTCTCAGCCCATGTTTCCATCAGCCTCACAGCTTCCATCCTTTTCACAGGAAGAACATCTGGTTTGTGCCTTCCCTGTGATCTGTTACTATCTGTTGACTCTTCCTGATAATTCCAGGACTTTTAATATCAAGGTCTCTTGGAGGCTGCCCTTCCCACAGTAGCCACAAACAAGAATGACTACAAGGTAGTACCTACCCATAGTGAATAGTTACAGCCTTAAAGGATCAAATTGACCAGATTGGCAATCATTAATGGAGCAGAGTTCAGGTTGCTCTATCCTGGCACATCGTTTTCCACTCATTTTTTTTTTTTTAATTTTAATGTCTTCTAAACAGAACAACTTGATTTTAAAACTCCCCTTTCTCTTTTAATTGGCAAGTTTTGTTTGCTTATTATAGTTACTGATATGTTTATGTCACCATCCCATTTTGCACTTTCTTTTGGCCTCAAGTTTTCTTTTATCTTTTAAAATAAAATGCTGCTTCTTTTCTTTCTCTTGCCTTGGTTGGGATTGCTGTTGTGTGATGTAAAGTGAAACAAAGGAAATAAAACTAGAGAGTAATGCTTCTTATTTATACTGTCAGTCTAACAAAGGAGGTGAAGTTCAGCATAGTTCCCAATTTGTATTTCACGGATGAGCAAAATTTTCCCCCAAATGTTGGTTACCAGGAGAGGGTTCCCAACTTTTTGTTTTGTCAAGTTAGTACACTAACAAAAACAATCATATCTTCAACAACTCTCCTCTATCCTAATTATAATTTTATAAAAGAAAGGACTTAAAAAAATTATAGTGTAAAAAATAATCTCGATTTAATGGTCATTTGGCAAATATGTTTATATGTGCAATACTTACATATGTATATATTTTGCGAAAAATATATTTATGTATTCATCTATAATTTTTGCACATGCACACTATGTATTTTAATTTCATTGAAATCTTTGAAAACTGAGCCTAAACTGAAACCCATTGATAAGACGATGGCAATGCAGAAAGAGAGGTTGTGTGTGGAGGCTCCTGAGGCCTGGGACTTCGGTAATAAAGAAAATTCTTTATTAGATCAGACCTGATGAGGACCCTAAGTTCATGGTGATAGACTGAGGAGTCTCCACTCTTAGAGGTCTGGATCTCAATATGTCAGTGGGAGAGTACTGAAGTTGCAGGTATTTATAAATTCCGTGTTCTATCTGGGTGCTTAATATACTAGTAAAAATCTTTTTAAGTATATAGGTTGAAGATTAATATTGTTATTCGAAACACCTTAACTATATTTTTTTCAGACATATGATGGACACAATCATGATACAATATTTTAAGTTTCACAATCGTAAGTCATGACTTACGCATATATATGCTACGTAAATTGTCTACATCAGAAAAGAAAAAAAAAAAGCTTAAAGCTTATAAACATATCTTTCTGAGCAAATTTAACTGAACTCCCAAACCACGGAGAGCATTCTTAGGGATTTCCTAAAGACTTTCGTCTGTCCTCCTTGGCTTCCTCTTCCTCAGCCTCTTGCGGGTAGAAGCTGAGTCCTGTTCCAGATCTAACCAGGTGCTAGCCCGGGAAAAGACGCGCCACTTCGGCGCCTTGGTGTGCTTGCAACCGAGGTGCTTCCAGATTCCTAGGTCTGCCTTAACCATAAATTTTTAGGACATAAAGAACACTAGGAATTTATTCTTCAATGAATTAACTTRGCAGCTCGCTCTCCCAGCGCCTGTCTCTGTGGCGCAATCGGTTAGCGCGTTCGGCTGTTAACCGAAAGGTTGGTGGTTCGAGCCCACCCAGGGACGAAAAGGTGTATTTTGTGAACCGTGAGGGCCTGTGCATGTTGAAACTCCACCACGTGTAACCGCTAGCAGCCCGGAAATGGTTGTTATCATAGTCTTCATCCTTAGCTGTTTCACCCCCTGCGTTTGGTAACTTTGAAAAAGCAATTATTGTTTTCCTTTTAACCACTGAAACTGCACCACGAAATTAAGGTTTTTACAAGAATTTACTAACCAAAGGAAGCAAGCACAGGACTAATAATCTAAAAACGAATTCATTATCTTTTCCACCAAACCTGTTCTTGCCTCGCCTTTGCATTTCCTGCGTCATCAAAAGGGCCCCAAGCCCTGAACCTGGATCCGCAATCTCACGCTGAGTCCTACTGGCTGCCAATTCCTGGAGAGTTCGCTTCCTAAATATTTTTCAACCAGACTTGTTCAGCCTAGCAGTCAGTAGGACAGCTTCCTCTTGGATTGTTGCAATACCTACCCTAGCCCCCTAGCGAGTTTCCTGCCTTTTATTCTCTCCTGTCCATCTTGCAGGTAAATGCCAGGGAATCTTGCTAAACTACAAATCTGATCTGCTTCAATTACCTCAATGGCTTGCTGGGTCCGATACAACCTCCATACTTTGGCAGGCAGTGCCCTTCACAGTGTGCCCAGAACTCTCCCCTTTTCATCACTGGGTGGACTCCAACAGAATCAAACTGTTTTCTTGAACTCATAGACTTCTGCCTGACAAGTCCTTCTTATCCTTCACCACCCAAGGGGATTCTTTGTTCTCTTCCTATTTGCCTATTTTTCTCTTCATAATCAAAGTTCCTCCAGAGAATGACCCTGAGGTGTCTAATATCTTCACTACACTCAACCTTTGCATGTTGTAGGAACTAAATAAATATGAGTGAAAGTGCAAGGTTACCAAATGTACTTGTCTCATGTCTAAATCTTATCCAATATTCATACAGTCATTTTGAATGACCTTGGTATATGAACTATACAATTATACTTGGTATAAACCATACAATTAGGCTGAACCTCTGCCCAGGCCTCTAACCTCCTTAGTAGCTGTGGCTTTTCCTATCAGCCCCAATGTGCTGAAATGACCTCTAACKTCCACTCATCTTCCTATCACATGTAGCTTATAAAAAATCCCATTTTACTCAGTTGTCCAGCAAGATTTAAAAAATAAGCTAATAATTCATAAAAGTTGTGGTAAAATGGTTGCTGAGTAGAATGTGGTTTTGCATAAATCCAAACTAAACCCCCACAGATTTTTGACAAAAGAAGGGGAAAAACAGATCCGATCATTTGTATTTTATTACCATGGTTTTTTTTTTTTCCATCTTTGAGAGTCGCATGCAAGATCTTGTAAAATGTTTTATTGAAAGCAAAAGTGTTTTGTTAAAAACATCGAGAACAGAAAGAGATAGTTAAAGCTTTCTTCCATAAGCAATGTTTTCCTTCCCTGCCCCCACCCCATTGGAACTGTTATGCTGAGAGATTTCAAAGTTTCACAATTTAACTCAGTCAGTAGAATTCAGACATTTAGAGTTGGTTATCCAACATTTGTTCAATGAATAATGGGAACAAAGTTATATCTGAATTAAATATTGAAACAGAAAAGCTGTATTTAAAGTCCCTGCTCCTCCTTGTCTCTAATTCGTACTACGTTGGTCAACAAGTGTCTTCACTCCTTGACCATTCCTTCCTGTGAACTTGTGGTTGACTCTTTGTTGCGTGCTTTTCTCAGCTCAGAGAGTGAACTGTCTCTGTTTCACTTAGCATAACACAAGTCTGTCTGATCTAAGCTTTCTTTTTCAACCTCTGTTCTTTACCCCACCCCAAGTCTTCAGCCCCCTTCCTAGGCTTATTGCCTACTCATGCATTAAAAGGGTTCATTATCATATATTCACAAACCATTCCAATTTTGATAGATACTCCTCTGGAAAACTCAATTAGATGTCATGGCTATAATTTCCTGTTGACTCCAACATGCCTCCTGCTTTCGGCAATTTTACCTCTGGGTCCAGATGTGGATACCTCCCCCGGTCTATTCTGGACTTCCCTGCTCTTTCTCAGCCATCCCCTTCATTAGGTCTGTTGAATTGCCTAGGTCCCCAGGAGTTCCCACCCTCTATCTGGAAGGAGTTTGGGGTTCCTCTGAAGGCAACCAGACCACTATCATTCTGGCCCTTCCTCAACTGTTAATAGTTTATCTAATTATTCATTTATTCAGGAACAATTTTTATATGTTTAAAGGTTCATCATGCAGAGTATGTGAGGGAATGGTTAAGCCAGAGAAAGTATATAGCTCCTACACTCAGTTCCTGAGAGAATTCCCCAGCTTCTCACTAGGACATTGCTTTTGGCCTTTCCTTTTCACTAGAGACCTGGAGGAAACAGAGAGTTGGGAGAAGTGCCCTCGGCCCAGGCTCTGAGTTCTATTTTTTTCTGCTGCTCAAAGAAATGCCTGATGGGGATGATGAGGTTGCTGATCCACAGAGAGGTTCATAGAAGCTGTGCCAGTGCCCTTATTACCCCATGGGTCATTTGTCCTGAGGGTCCCGGCTCCATCTAACTTTGTGTTTGGACCAGTCTCCCCCTGAACTTTGAAGGTTTCTTCGCACAGAAAAATATAGCCCTGTGTCCACTGCAAATAAGAGTCCCATCATCAGGCAGAAAGCAATTTGATGCCAAGGTAGAAAAACTGAGGAGGTGGATGGAAATGCTGAACCTAGGAGAAGTAGAGAAATGAGAAAAATGACAGTTATTAGGGCAGAAATTTGGAATAAATAGTGAGGCCACCAGTAGACAGTGTTCCTGACACCTGCCAGGAGACAGGCTCTAGGGAATGAATGAGAGGAGAACCTAAGGGAAGCCTTYGCTCCCTTCCACTGACTCCCAATCTTACTGCTATGCCACTGGGCTCAGCTTGTTCAACACTTTTAGCTGTAGCTTCAGCTTGTTTGTGGGAATGTGACAGGGAGTGTCCAGCAACTTAGGTTGTCAATAGAAGTTGTGTGATAATTATGAAATTGTTGCTGTTGGCACAAATTTGTGGATTTTTGTTTCAATTTTTGAACTTAATTTTGATATAATTTMAAACAGAACAAATCTACCAGAATAATATAAAGAACTCTCATGTATCCTTCACCCAGATTCACTGATTATTTACATTTTTCCCCATTGCTTTACCATTTGCTTTCTTCCTAACCATTTGAGGGTAATATAGGCCCTCCACATCTGTGGGTTCTGCATCTGAGGATCTGACCAAAAATCAAAATCAAAATTTTGATCAAAATATATTTTTGAATATATTTTGATCAAAAATATATTTTTTAAAAAATTGTGATTGTACTAAACAGACTTTTTTCATTATCATTATTCCCTAAGCAATACAGTATAACAGCTATTTGTGTAATATTTACATTAAGTATCTAATACAATCTAAACAAGATTTAAAGTAATAGGAAGACATGCACAGGTTACGTGCAAATAACTACACCATTTTATCTAAGGCCTTGAGTGTCTTCAGATTTTGGCATGCAGGTGGGGGGACTAGAATCAATTCCCCCCACAGATCCCAAGTGATAGCTGTATTTACTTCCTTTTTACTTATTTATTGCAGTACTGATACTGGTGGTTTATGTCTGTAATTCCAGCAACTTGAGAAGCTGAGGCAGGAGGATTATAAATTTAAGGCTAACTTCAGCAACTTAGTGAGACCCTGTCTCAAAATAATAATAATAATTAATAATAATAATAATAATAATAATAATAATAATAGACCAGGCATGCCTGTAATCCCAGTGGCTAAAGAGGCTGGGGCAGGAGAATCTCGAGTTCCAAGCCAGCCTCAGCAAAAGCTAGGTGCTAGAGACAGTGAGACCCTGTCTCTAAATACAATCCAAAAAGGGTTAGGGATGTGTCTCAGTGGCTGAGTGCCTCTGAATTCAATCTCTAGTACCAAAAAAAAAAAAAAAAAGTGCTGGGGAAGTAATTCAGTGATACAGCTCTTGGGTTCAGTACCCAATACCCCACCACCCTGCCCCCCCAACCCCCAACAGAAATCTAGCACATTGAAAGATGCCTAATAAATGACAGTTTGCTTTTGTTACAGAGAAGAAATTGAGGTTCAAAGAGACTACATGGTTTGCCTACAGTCACACAGTCAATTAACCACAGAACCCAGATTCAGAGTCCTTTCTATAATTGAGGGGCTCCTGCCAGTCTAACTCTTGATTAATAAAAAAGGCTTGCATGGGAAAGGAGGGCTTTTAAGGATGGGCCAGCATGACAGGGTCACATGATATTGCAGGCATGTTGGGGTAAGGAGAGGTCTATTTATAGGTAAGGAAATGTGGCTCCCGCTCCTGCTTTCACACTGCAGAGTGAATGGCACCTCTTGGCTACCCCTTAGCAACAGGCTAGAACAGAACTGCAAACCTACCCAGCAACCAGGTGTCTATTGGTCACTAGGAAGAACTCCATATAAATAAGTCTGTGGAGGAATTAGGTATCGTTTCCCAACTAATTTTCTTTTTAATTTTTACATTTTAAAAAATTTATTATTAAAAGGATTGGGGATTGAACTCAAGGGCATTCTGTTATTGAACTGAACTGCCAGCCTTTTTTATTTTTTATTTATTTTGAGACAGGGTTTTGCTAAGTTGCTGATGTCTTCACTAAGTTGGTGASGCTGGCCTTGAATTTACAATCCTTCTGCCTCAACCTCCTGAGTCACTTGGATTACCTGGCCTAACATATTTTCCAGTGTGAAATACCAACTCCAAACAGCTCTGGGTGCTCTAGGGCTGAATAGCTCTCACCTCCAATGATGATGTTCACAGACTCTGAAGATTCGTTGTGACTCCCAATAAGCCCCCKGCAGAAGTAGGAGCCACTGTCCTTGTATGTGGCCTTTGGAATGTACAACTCGGAATTGCGATGAAAATACTTCTTGCCTCTGCCATCTTGTAAATAYGTGACCTTATGCACAGGCGTATTCTTCCAGCTGTGGCATCTCAGCCGGAGAGGCTCCCCGGGCTGGAGCACCCGCTTAGGGGTCTGGAGCAACAACCAGCCTGAAGACACAGAGAGACCTTAGGTCAGAAGGCCCAAGCTGTCTATGCAGACAGAGCTCTTTAGAATATGACACTCACTACCCAGATCCTGGGACATAATGAAAAGTCAGACCAGGAGCCATCATACATAACACCCTTTGGGAAAAACCTGACTGGGCCTTTTTATCTAAAAAATGGAGAAGAGGGACATACACATGATCAAACATTAAGTTAGAGCAAAAGGACTAAGAATGAGGCGAGAAGTAGATTCTGCAGGATTCTTAAGTATTAGACCTGGATTAGTTTTGTAAGATAATAAGAAATCACAGTAAATTCTAGACTGAAGGTAAAAACTACATTAGAAAATAATAATTTGTCCCATTAGAAAAAAAAAATGGCAGACTTCAAGAAGGAATAGGCAGTTATAGGAGTTTGTTTTTTTTTTTTTTTCTCATTACAACTGGAGGTTGAACCCAGGGACTTGGGTATGTTGGGCAAATRTTCTGCTAATGAGCTACATCCTCTCTCTTTTCTGTTTTTTTATTTTGAAGTAGGCTCTCACTAAGTTACCCAGGCTAGCCTTGAACTTGCAATCCTCTTGCCTCAACCTCCTGGTATTACAGGTGTGGGCCACTACACCCAGATCACAGGTCCAATTTCATGAAACTGTTGCAGACCCACTCTTGTTATATTCCCCTTCCCCTCCAGGCCTGTTTCACCCATATATGTTGTGGGGCAGCCATGGAAATAGAGCCAGGCTTTCATGGTAGTACTACAGATATTTGAAGGATACCAGGAAAGACACCTGTCTCCAAAATGTGCACATTGGTACTCTCAGCAACTCAGGAGACTGAGACAGAAGAAGGATTGCAAGTTTGAGACCAGCCTGGGCAACTTAGGGTCACCCTGTCTCAAAATAAAGAAAAAGGGCTGGTGATGTAGCTCACTGGTAGAGCATCCCTGYGTTCAATCTAAAACTAAAAACAAAAACAAAAATGTTCTTGCCTGCTCCTGTTGTTGAGATGCTGCTAACACACAAATACTTTCATTCCAGGATTAATATACAGGCTGAAAACATATCTACCTTTATTATCAGGGGTATCACACTGCCAAATTTACCCTGAAGTGTGAATTCCAGTACAGCATTGATGGGAAAAGAGAGAAGATGGTAGGTAATCTTGGATAGTTTGGGAGGCTTAGRGTATTACAGACCTGAGAATGAGAAGAATATTGAGATTCCAAAAACAATTTTTTGATTTTTAAAATAAATATTATTGAGACTCAGTGTCATGCCCTGACTTTCAGATGATACATTCACATTGTATGCATTTTGTGTGAATGATGATTCTCTGGTTTGTGCAATGAAGCAGTCCTGTATTCCCTATATGACAGGCCTTGATATTTTGTTTAAGGCCTASATACAACTGGAACTACAATTCTGATATCATTCAGTGGGATGACACATCATTTCATAATATATATTTTTAAAATCTCATCTTGATTTTAATCTTCAAGAACATCATCTTCTAGTTCTTCCCAAGTATTTCAGGGCCCATTACTGGTGAGTTCCCTTTTCCCCCCTTACCAGCTTACCAGTGTGGACTTCTAGATGCACAGCGTCACTTTGCATGGAGAGGTTGGTCTGGCACCTGTACTCTCCACTGTCTTTATCTTTGGCTTCTGCAATGTAGTAGCTAGAGGCCTGGCTTGGGATGAGGTTTCCATTATGGAACCACTGTGTGGAAGTGTCTTCAGGGTGTTGGGCCCCCTGACACTTCAGAGTCACACTGTCTTTCTGGAGCACCCAGTCCCATGGAGGATCTAGGAGCACCACAGCCTTTGGGAGATCTTCTGAGAAGTCAAGAGAATATGGAATGAGAACAGTTGGTGAGCGCACCCCACACTGGCATTCCCAGAGAGGTTCAAAGCCAGAGTGAGCCCATTGCAAACCCATAGTAGGTAACTTAGGCTGAATGTATGACTCAACCTTAAAAGCATCTATTTTTGTTTTGCTTTTGGTTTTCAGTGCTGGAGATTGAACTCAGGTTTGCTTTACCAGTGAGCTACATCTTCAGCTCTATTTATTTTTCATTTGGAGGCAGGATCTTGCTAAATTGCCCAGGCTGACCTTGAACTTGCTATTCTCTGCCTCAGCCTCAGGAGTAGATGAGATTACAGGCAGGCAGCACCACACCCAGCTAGTAGTCTTAGAGCATTTTGACCAGGAGGAGCTTGGCCCCATTTTTGGCCTGCTCTGTACCTTGAAGAAAATGGCCCAGAGAGGCACTGGGCCAAGCCCAGTGGTATTGGGGAAGCTGTTCCTATCTACCCCGTATCAACAGTTTCCCACGCAATGGTCATTTCCTAACATCCTGTGACTGTTGTAACCATATGTACCTTACTTGATTAATTCAGGATCATAGCAAACTCAYGGACTGGGCATGTAGCTCAGTGGTAGTGCACTTGCTTAGCAAGTGTGAAACCCTRGGTCAATCCCCAGCACTGTGRGGGGGAAAAACATTCCCCAAAAAACGAACAAAAGAAACCAAAAACCAAACTCACCAGCTTGCATGCCAGCTGAAACTACAAGGGRAAAAAAAAAGTATGAATTAGACCCTGAGCAAGAACAGAGACCATGGTGACTACAGTATAAAGTGATCTAAACCTGCCTCCACCCACCCCAACCCTGGGAGCACTGCGTTCCCAAGAATGGAGATATTTATAGTGGATGCCTTTTGGTTTGCCCACTGGTCTTCAGTGTCTGGGCCTCCTACTTCCACTGAACACCCAAATCCCTATTTTTGACACTGTTCCCTTACTCCTTGTTCCCTGTTCAAAGTCACAAATTAAGGGTGAAGATTGAATTTCCCTGAATCAAGCTTTCCCTGAAACAACTTAATCCTAAAATTTCTTGAAGGAGTCAAAATTAAAAGTTGTAGAAGGGATGGATGCTGGTATGTCAGACTGGAAGAGACAGACCTTAGGAATCATCTAGTTCATGCTCTTCAATTTGCACATAGGGAAACAGAGACTTAGAGGGGTGAAGAAACTGACCGCAAAGTCTCCCTTTACCTTCGAGTGATACACAAATCAGAAACAGCATTCTGTGCTGAGCCCCCCAGACAATTTGTCCTAGGAGCTAAATTCAAGGCTATAGATGTGGTGAGGGGTCCTATCCTTTGGTGGGGGTTCCACCCCAGGGCATCTTGAGCTTTTCCCTCAGTCAGGGGGCCCTGACTTACCTAGAAGTAGCAGAGCCGTTGGTGGCAACAGCTGTTCCATGTTGCTGCTGCGCTTAGCGTGAAGGAGTCACCACAGATATCCGGAGCCCTTTAAAGGACGTAGACAACTGGAAGAGAGGAAGTAAAACYGCCTTTCCCCCATCCCCCAGACCATCACTAAACAGGTTCCTTTTCCGGGAATATCATATGGTTCTCAGATCTAAATTCCAACAAGTGAACCCCATGATAGAGCAGGGATGAGAGCAAAAGAGCTGAAGGAAAAGCCAAGGTGTGTTTGTCCCCTTTGTTYAGGGCAGGTCACCACCAAGCACTTGAGGGACACACAGAGGATCTATCAGAGTATATCTTCAGCAATCTCAGGATGCTTCCTCCTATCTCTTGGGGTTGGGTCCACACAGTGTCAAGAATGGTGTGCATAACCCTGAGGATGACCCTCGAGGAGCCCTGGTTCTATGTCAGAATTTCTCCCTCTTTGGCCTGGCCAAGACCCATCTCCACCCAGCTCAGGACCCGTACGCATACAGAAAGTAGTAATTTTGTGTGTGTGTGTGTGTGT